AAGCAGTGGTATCAACGCAGAGTACTGCACAAGAAGAGCACTATCGAATGGTGCATACTGGAAGCTTTCAAATTGGATAGGCGCTGCGTTACATACTTGCAAAGGGACCTCCTCAGAACAATTTGAGAAAACTGAAAACAAGATATAGATGGACATGACGTATGTAGAAAGATTCGCCTTGACGAGATGAACACAGTGCTGCTTTCGAATTTAGAATATATTAATTCCGAAGGAAGTTATGGCGCCTGCATAATTTACGATAATCCGGAATCGCGAAATTTCTGGAATTTCGCGCAATTCCCGTTCTGTGAGTGGTATTGTACATTGCACAGCACGCGCGGCATTCCGCGATATGTGCTTCTCATGCGATTTCCAACCATTTCCCTTTGTCTTCCTGCATTTTGGGACCCGTCATACTTCGCCGAGAGAAGCCCACTTTCACACATATCCATGCAGAATGAGCTGCCCACTTTCACAACATATCCATGCAGAATGAGCTGCCCAGTTTCACATATATCCATACAGAATGAGCTCTTAAAACTATACCTGCCCTATTTCTGCTGTGCTCAATAGAATGTGTACGTAGCCTCTGGAATAAGCACACTGAATGGTCCATTTACACTAAAATTCCAGGGAAAGAAACTTATATCCCACAACTAGGCACATCCGTATATTGGAAGATGCGCCTCGCCGAGCTGAGTTGAATGGTACTCTTATATATAGAATTCATAAATTTTGAATCAAGATAAGGTCTTTTTTTATAAAAAGTTAGGCGTTGCGCGACAAAGTTAGGTGGACTTTTGCCGCTTTTTCCGCCGACTTTTGTCGCGCGAACGCGGCAAAAGTCACCTAACTTCGGCGGCGCCGCGTAAGTTAAGTGCCGCCGTCATTTTTTTTCACAAATTACGGGTGGTATTGTACTTGTTAGATCTCCACATTCAGCATTGCTTTTCGCACTTCTCGCTATCTAAAACCACTACGCTTTGAGCAGCCACATCTTCATTTTCATCGAACCTATAAACCGATGTTAGGTAGCAACTATATGGAAACTTGCTGATGCTGTTTTGGGATAAATCTGTACCGCTCCTTTTCTAAGAGCGATAGGACCTATTTCCGTAAGGGCTTGAGACGAAATTGATGACGGCTACCATGGCAGTGGCAATCACTAGCAGTTCGAAGGTTCGAAGGTGCAATGGCTGAATAACACAGCATATCTTGGTGGTAATGTACCTGCATTACAGCATGGCATACTCATGGGCATGACCATTACGGCATATGTCCAGTGTACGATATGCTTATGTACAGGGAAATTACCATCTTATCTCCGCCGCACACTCTATAAAAGCAGTGTCCAGGCAATTTGGGCACATGGGATTTTTACCTGAAGATGAGAGGGTCCTAACTAAAGCACTGCTCAAAGGCGCAAATGATTCATTCAACTGCTGAGAAATCCCTCCCCAAACCCCCTCTGCGCCGTTATCGTAACCCGAAAATGACTTTGCTCACTTGACACTAGGTTTGCGCGGGACTTATCCTAAGTCAATCGCGAGTAACGATCACGGCGCAGGCTTGGAGTGTTTGGGTATTCATGGGATTTTTTAGCCGTGATCGACTCATTTGCGTTGCAGTTTGGGCAGTGCCTTAGTTAGGATCCCCTAATCACTTCCCAAGCGAATTCGTAGGCCTAGTTGCCCCTGGACAGTGCCTATGAAGAATTGACTTGTGCGTGTTGTGACTTGCAGAAGCTTGTCGTTTGTTGTAGACATGGGCTATAAACTTTTATTTTGAGAATGCTTATATTGTGTGTGGTCGCTCTTAACTTTCCCATCGCAGTAGGTCGTTCATAGGCTAGTATATCGCTGTATCTATATGTTTACGGTGAGATTGGAAGAATCTGAACATTAACAAATAGCTAGCCTGAGCCGACTTTGGGCGAAAATTGCCTGTGCTATAGCCTTTTGAATTTATTTTCTCAACGAAGTGATAGCAATAAATGCCATTCATCGTCTCAAAATTGACAGCTTCAAGATGTAACTAACGCTCACGTTTCGATAGTAGGTTTGCAAAAAATTCAAGAGTACAGGGAATTTATTAGAGAATGCATCAGTATGGAAGTCGAAGCGATTTCCTAGCTATGCAGCTTGTTGTTCGAAATTCCTTCAAGATTATCGGCAGTCTTTATCGATTAAACGAAATTACCGGGGGGGGGGGGGAGTTGGAAGTCACAGAGGGGCGACTGAGCTCGCAACTAAAATCAAGAAGTGGGAAACTTTTACAAAGGACGGGCAGGGAATGGTATGAGTGTGACGGAATGGTGAATTAACACTAATATAGTGCCAACCATGTCCAATCCAAATGGGCATGCTAACTAATTTATCATACGAATTGCATATGGTTCTTTGAAATTGAATTTGTTCTAAAGCATGAGCGGGTGCGACATTGTAACAGCAGCGGAGTGTGCACAGTATCGCAAAATTTTTTTCCACCATTTTAGTGGTTTTCTATTCACAAAAAGGATTACTTAAGTGGGCTGAGTCTTGTACAGTATTTACTTGTGAAAATGAGGAAAGCGCATTGTGATACAGAGCGTCAAATGCTACAGAATGCGGCGGTAAATGAGAATCTAAAACAGCAGTACGCGAACTATCGGGGCTGCATACAAAGAAGAGAAGCCGCTCTACAAGACTCAAACTTTGTTCAAGTATGTAAGTTAGTTCTTCTCGCCATTCATTTGAGTAATTCAAACGTCTTCTGTTTGCCTTTAGGTAATTCTTGTCGGGAAAGGTGCAGATGTGACTATGTCATGTTTTTCATGGTATACATTTTTTTTATCAAGGAAGAAACCGCAGGTAAAATGGTCGCTTTCAATACGCAGACCTTTCAGCATTTCTCCGGAAAATGCCGTCGAAATCGAATCCACTTACAAACCGTCAGCTGGAACCATTGGAAGAGCACTTATCAAAGCTGTTGATTTCTTCAAAGAAGTAATAGTAAAGTCTGTCGTTATCACTTCGGTGGATCTTCTTTCAGCGCATTTTTCGAGCTTCCAATCGAGTTAGAGATCCGAATATGTGGAAGTACGACTGGCAGCGAGCAATCATGGGGCAGGATTGGAGACCTCTTACAAAGATGCACGAGAAAGGGTTTAGAACGGAAATGATTGTTGATAAAGTGAAAAGGTATTGAGTATTTCCACTGCAAACAGATGGTTCAAAATTAGGCAAAGCCGTGCAACTTTCACAAATTTGCTTAGAAGAAAAAAAATCGACGAATTTTTGGCTGGACACGCTTAAATCTCTTCTCCTGTACTTCAACCATCGGTGTATGTGCACTCAACTTTCCCAGAAAATCGTTTTTTACTTTCATATAGTGCGGCTTTGATTGAAGTTGTAACTGGGTAACTTCCGCGGTTGAAGTCAGCCGAGCCTGCCGTTCTGTCTTGGCGATGCGCGGCCGACCTGAGGGTCAGCTTCTTTGTAAGTCGGGAGAGAGTGTAAGAATGAGCAGGGAACCGCTGGATTTACTAGAACGGTATTCACGAGGCTAGTGGGTAAACAAAACCAGTGCAGCACCGTGCATATCAATCCTACCCAATAAATCCGCGACCCACGGGATACAAACCCGGTGAGTGGTACCACTGGGTTCATTGATGAGTACGGCCACAGGACAGCTTTGTTCAAAATTTCGACTGCAAACAGAGATGTCGAGATATCTGGGTAATGCTTTGGCGGGAGTATTTTGAAGTTCGAGTTCTATCAAGGCAGCTTTTCTTAAAAATATACAGACTGCGATGAAACTACTTTGGGCAAGATGTGACTTCGCAAATATGCTCTTCTTCATTGTTTTAGTACATGGGCAATTTAACAAAAGCCGTATAAGTAATTTTCAGTTTCTACGATATATTATAATTCTACGTATATTTTGTTTCCACAAATACGGAAATGTTGGCAACTGATGGAGATTTATGTTTTACAGATTTCTTGATCGCGATGCAAGCAGGATACGCGTTGGAGACCGATACGAACTTAGACTACGAGGTGCAGATCGGAATTCTACCGGATACTACCGCTGCGTAAACAAACATGGGAAGAATCGTGTAGTGTCAGCAATGTACTACTTGGATGTAATAAGCAGAGTAAAAATTGAGTTGGTAAGCAGGTTTCCAGTAGTGCTTCAAGGCAACGGCCTTGAGATTTCAATAGTAAGGTGGGTAGATACTAGGTCAGTCAGAAAGTTCTGTCGTTTCGTTTTTGAAAATCGTAGCTTTTAGCTGTCTGGACAGTTTTGCTTAAATCTACCACAAAAGCAAAGCATCCTACTTAGTATTTTCTTTGAGAGCATCTACCAGTTGCAGAGATAAAATTGTTGAAAAAGATCAATCAAGATTCGAACATTTTGAGTTGGGCCGCCAAAAATCTGAAATGTTGCAGAAAAATCTGAAATTGTCAATGCATGAGCCTTAAGAACTACTTTCCCAACAGCGAAAGGTTTGTGTTGATCGGAAGTAAAAGCTATGATTTTTGATAGAAAATGATAAAGTCAATTATTTTTTTCGATTTTCTCAACAATCATAAGTTTTCACAGAAACTTCCATTCAGCACAAACTCAACACGGTTGGAACGAGAAGGTTTTAAAATTTAAACACTGATGATTTCGGATTTTCTGCACCGTTTCAGATTTTTTGCAGCCTGACTCAAAATGTTGAAGTTCAAATGATCTTCTTCAACCAATTTTATCTCCAACCAGGGTTTGGTAGAAACACGCTAAGACCGTATTACAAAGTAGAAAGCTTCTTCCTTCTAATAAAATTACTGCAAAGCACCTTTTACCAAACAATCATGCATTGACAGAGCTACTTGCTGCGATACAAAAAATGATGTTTAGGTTAAATCCAAGATGAATGAGATACCACCAACAATACCTTTGTGGAATAAGAAGCTAGGAAAGAATCTGGTTGCAAAATCAGTGGTAAGTGTCTATTTTCACTAAATGAAACATAAACTGCGAAATGTGGCAAACCATTCCGTGGCATCATTTTTGATTTCGTCTGAGTCACAATCATAGGCTAATATCAAAAAATGAGTCTTCCGGGATAACCATCAATTTATGGCTGCAAAAAAACATCCTCAATTTCATAAGGAACTTCATTCTTTTCTCCGTGATTTTGCTTGCAATATGAGTTTAAGGATAAAGGATAAAGGATTCGGCGTCTTCAATACCCTCTGAGGGCATGCGCCGAACGCACACACTAACTTCGTAGTCGAGGAGGCAATTGTATGCGTGCGAGCCTATTACAGTGATTTGCGGGGGCCAGCCGTTTCCAAGTCAGTGCTTTTATCCTCCCAGATTACTCTGGTACCAATTTACTGGCCCCGGAGGGTAGAGGGCTTGGTTGGCCCAGGGGCGGGGATCGAACCTGTGTCCGATCTGGTCATAGCGGCGCCTCATACCACTACGCCACTCGTCCCCCATGAGTTTAAGAGGACCTGATTTTGCATGCTTCGTGCAATAAACTATGTGTTGCTTCATCACATAGACTTGCATATGGGAGAACTGAGCCATGCTATAGCAAAGATCATTTTTCTTTTCAAAATATGCAAAACTTTAGGAATGAGGTAAGAGTACGTGGTTGTTAAACCTGCGTCAATGTCTCCCATTCCGTAAAAGCTTATCGCTTCTTCTTGAACAGTCCGGTACGGAAGTCTTGCTATGTTCATGCCAAACAACGGTAATAAATCGACCAAGCGGTTATTCAGAGGTTTCCCTGTACAATAAGATTAGTAGTCTCTATCCATGTGTTTCAGTGTTGTATACACACCTGGAAATAGTAAGTACATGATGGGTCTGCCCCTCCCCCCCCCCCCCTTCCCCGTGTTTTCTTTAAAAACTTCAACTGCCGTTTGCGGTTTTCTAACCAACTACTTTCAATTGGTCTCACTTCAATAATTTGCCAGCGCATCGAAAGGTAAAGGTACTAAAGAGTTTGACAAATGTGAAAAACATAGTAGAAAGGTAGACTATCTGATATAACACTTATGTCACATGTTTTTTGTACTTTCTCAAATTGTCAACATCATAGCAACCGGATTTTGTCACCTCTGATGTGAAAACATTATAAAGCACAGCAGCTTCGATGCAGCTTCCTCCCAAGCCTTTTCCTTTTGCAAACATCCTAATATGAGTTTGCAAAAGGGCGTCCTTGATTTGAAATGACGCAATTCAGAAGCGTAAGTACACTTACAGATTACTACGGTTAACGGAGCTCTATTGGCCATATAATCCCTAGCATCCAAACAACCGGCCCCAATGATAGAATACATTTTTCTGTGAACTTCGCACCTTCTTTTCTAGGCTTCATCATGGAGTGAATGTAGCAAGTGTGGCGAAGAAATTGGAGAACAAGCAAGGAGCATCAAGTGCATTATCGAGGTAGTTTATGAGTGAAAGTAATCTTACTGTGGGGCACAAAACCTCGCGAAATCTCTATAGATGTACAGTTTGAAAATGTGATAGTGAACTTCTGGTGCGTCTTTCGAGCGGACATTAACTTCAACAAGGCATTCGCATACATAATTTTTACTGGAAACTTCGCCGCTACTTTGCCAGCTAAACCGTATCCTAAATTGCCAGCAAATCCGAGACTCGCTTCAGCGAATCATTAAATCGAACAGTAGATTTTTTTGGATTTGGTAGGGTGACATGTGATATCGCGTACAAAAGCATCGTAGATCGCTTGCTTGCGTAGTTGGAGAAAAGAGAATATCGTTTTAAATTTTGGAATGAGGACTATATTGCTCGAGTAACAACTCAGACAACTGAGGGGAACTTCCGCAGGACGTTTGAGACAGCTCCGCCGGGTCACCTGCGAAAGTTTTATAAACGTGCTGCCGAAGTTTAAAGAAGTGCTGCGTAATTTCCGAAGGATGCAAATCACAACAGCAAGAGAATACACCTAAGCGAGATTCGAACCTTGCTCTACTGACTGCGATACTCACTTACTATCATCTGTACTACGAATGACATGTTCGGAATGAACTTTAGTTGTTGGAGAGGCACATCGTAAGAGGCAACACACTCGAAAATCTGTTGAAGTACTGAGATTAAAGTGCTGCGGAACCGCTGGCATTTTTCGCACTTTTTGCAGCGTTGTAGCGAGTTCTGCGGGAATTCCCGTTTTCAACCAGTCTGACGTGAAAATCCTGTGGAAGTACAGAATTCCAACGTTTTCACTTATGTAGTAGTAAACAAAACCCTGCGAAACCGGTGCAAATTTCGCTTGTCTTGCGGAATTTCCGTTGAATTGTTTGAGATTAATCACTTGCATGTAATCCTTCATCGTGTCAAATAATCTCGCTGGATCAAATATCAGCGATATCAAAAATTTATTTTAACTACACTTTCAAAAAAAAAGCAAAAGGCTTCATATTGCAGCCGCTCGTGCCTCTGTCTCGCCTTCCCGCAAAATTCTCCTGGATACAGTTGTTTGGCAATGTGCCGTGCTATTCCACGCTCGTACCTTTGGATCTACGCTATCATTTCGCTTCCAGTATAGAATACATTCAGTATAGGCCTTGTTGGGTAAGGCAACACTGCTGCCTTTTTCCATTTTAAGGCAGAATAATATTATTTCTAGCGTCGATGCACTACTCAAACTGCCAAGGATCGTAATCTGACTTCTGTTGATGAACTTGGTGAAAGGCGCGTACTTGACTACATTCCCAAAGGAGAATTTCTTTTTGGAGAAATCTTACCTAGACTGATGGCGCCAGTAGTACGGAGAGGATATTTGGTACCAAAAATAGTCAGCTCTTCTACATTTTCATCTCCATTAGTTGAGGTCACTGAAGGAGATCCATTGGTTCTGACTTGCGAAATGCCAATGGATGAGCCCACAGGTATTCAGTGGTTTTCGAAAAAGAAGGGAGCAATTCAGTTCAAAAACATAACGAAGCAATTCAAGGTTTTTGCTGCTGGAATTTTGTTTCTTCTACTTTGATCTCAGATTTAGGGACGGTTTGCCTTCGATGAAACAGCACGCCTTTATATAAATAAGCTGGAACTTGATGATACTGATGAATACTTGTAAGTTTTCGACAAACACGAAGGTCTGCACTGCGCCAAGGCCCTAGACTGTCAAGATTTTGATTTTGATACTGTGAACCAGTAATCTAAAGGTGCTATTTGGAGGAGCGTTCACGGGACCGCCATGCGGTTTCCCGCTATTTGCAGATTTTTGAACTGAGTTAACGATTCTTTATATATTAGATATCAAAATAATACACCAAAAATTCATCAGTTTTTGCTTGAAATTATATACTCAGTAATAGTAGTTTGCAAGAAACAGTTTTTAGGGTACAGAGTCCAAGGTTACTGATACGGTTATAGCACCAAAAGTCACCGAAAGCATGATAAGATCATGTAAGAGGTCGTTTTTAAATAATAGCCAAGGAGCGCCTTCTTAGTACCCCATATTAGGTTGTCCCAAAAGTAAATCCTTTTTTAAATAATTCAAGCTGTTTTTGTTTTCCTAGTGAGCTAGGAAATCATTCGATAGAGCAGATCAAGCTTTACACAATATCCACCAAGAATCCGCCAAATTTGCATTCCATGGAGAGTTTGAAGCCAAAATCGAAGAAAATCTTGGCACCCGAAAATTGGATTTCTGCGACAAAGAATCCTACGGACCTCCAACTTGGTCATCAGTAGGCACATAGTAGTACCCAAATATGCATTTACCGAATTTTTCGCGAGCATAGAAATCGCAAAATAAAAATTGTCCAAAAAATTGGCAAACTCCGCCGCCAGCCCCTCCCACATATGTCATTGTATACTGCAAGCCTTACTAAGTATGATTCCAAAACCTTACTTATTTATGTGCTCTTATAATTGAGAAATACCAAGTTTTACATAAAAAACCTGGAAAAAGTGGCATTTTGGCATTTTTGGACCACCTTTTTTTTCTCAATTTTGAGTCCCTGAAAAAATCCGCCAAATACATTTTTGAGTACTACTATGTGTCTACTATATAAAGACCAAGTTCGAAGTCCGTGGGAAATCTCTGAAAGGAGATCTGATTTTTAGGGTAGCTGAAAAATTTCGAATTTTGGCCCCAAATTTTACCTGGATTACGAATTAGGTGGATCTTCAGTGGTCCTTTTGTAGAGCTTGCTCCGCTCTATCGAATGGTACCCTAGATCTAGCAGAAAAACAAAAACAGCTCAGTTCAATTACAAATGGAGTTTACTTTTGGGACAACCTAATGACTTCTTAAATAACAGACTTTTGCGGAGTATGTTGAACAGATATGATACTATGAGATGAAGGATTAGTAACGTTGATATTGCTGAACTAACAGTGGTAATTAATTTGAAAAAAGGCGTTTAAAAACTCTTCCGTTTGAGGCGGTCGGTTCAATGACGCGGCTGCCCCACGTCTTCGAGTATCTCTTATCATTGAGTTCGTACGCCCTCGCGTACATGGGCGTCCCGCCCTCTGCTTGAGTTTCAACAAAAAAGCTATCTAACTTTTAAGAAAAGCTTCTAGCTTAGCTCGACCTTCTGGCGAGAGACATATATGTTCTGGATCAGTAAACACTGATTCCAAATATGCTATTCCTAGCTGCCGCGCACTATTCCGAAGCGAGTTATGGTCTTTTTCCTGCTTAAATTTGGCATACTACTGAACACAGGAAAACTGCCTGTGGATGAAAATCCGCAAGAAGAGGGTGCTTATCGAAATAACAGAAATTCAATCTTTTTGCACAAAAAGAAGCTCAACGCAATGTATTAGCACTCAGGTGATGACGTCGTGATGCCAGTGAATCGATGAGTATGCCAATTCTGCGCAGGAAAGTCCATAACTCGCTGTGAAATGGTGCTCGGCAGCTAGTAATAGCATATTCGGAATCAGCGTTTGAGCTGATTCAGAATGTATACGTCTTTTGCCAAAAGGCCGAGCTGAGTTAGCTTACCTTGTTAGCTCCGCCTTTTGGGAGGAGACATGTATTCTAAATCAGTTCAAGCGCTGATCCCAAATATGCTATTCCTAGCTGCGTCTCATCCATCAGGAGCGAGTTATTGACTTAGTGGCAATACACTTGCGTTAGGCTACTTCCCTGAGAAAAAACTGGTTTGATGTTGATTGTGATTTGAATATATCAATGTCATAGTAGCGGAACTTCACTGTATGGTCGCCTTTGACTGCAAGGCTACAAACTAAGCTTAACTTATTCCGGTTTTTGTTTGTTTCTGGCCCTGTCAGCTATTAGGCTGTACCGATATGGTGGACATAAAGCATTTGGAAAGATAGATTACAAATATCATCGTCTTGACAGGCTCTGAAGAAGGTGGAGACGTCGAAACGTAGGCATAACAAAGCTGTGTAACAATCTTGGCCTCAGCTACAACAACAATTACTAGGATTTGGTATTATTCCAATAACTCAGCATCTTTTTCCTGCAGATTTTTTTATTGCAGGCAGTCTTCCTATTTCAGTAGGATGCCAATTCGCCGCAGTAAAAGCCCATAACTTGCTCCGGAATGGTGCGCCTCAGCTAGGATTAGCATTGGAAAGAGCTTTATACAGAATGTATATGTCCCTTGCCGAAAGGCCGAGTTAAGTTAGATAGTTTCCCTTCTAAGTTGAGGTTTGTGTTGTGTCTTTCACGTTGGACACTCTTCAAGGCTTCGTTTTCTTCGGGAGGAGAGAGGAGAAGAAAGAATATTTATTAGAAGTAAAATAAGTAGACAAAACCCAGAGGCGGATGAGTAAACAATGACTGAACCAATGGAACTGTGGAACTTTAGAACTGACTGAGGCGAAAAGTGAGCGCCTTTTATAGCGCTAAATTCCCGCGCACTCGGAGGTTGCGGTCGACTGCGCGAGGCAGATCACTATGAGGAACACTGATCAGTACTAACACAACAGTTTGAATATCTTCAGAATTACTTCGTCAAAAATGGATTTCTCAGTTCTTAATGACACTTTGTGAAATGCACTTCAGTTGCTACACTGCGGAGAAGATCCTAATGGGAGCCCACGTTGTTAGAGTTTTGGAGAATGATCGTACCAAAGAAATTGTCGCAAATCTAGAGATGTTCTTTCGTTTTGCAGCTTTTACCTTTATTTTTGTACTAATCGTTGGTCAAGTTATGAAGTAAGAGCTGTTGATTTTTGAATGTGAAAAAATAGTTGATTTTTTTTTTGTTTGCAATAAGCTTCGAAATAAAATGTTTTCCACTTATATTCTCCTTGAATAGAGGCTGTCGCGATTTTTCATCTAGAGAGGAAAATTATTTTGAGGTCATGTGCACTACGGATCACATAGAAAGATAGCCAAGCGCAAAAAAGCTCACAAAGTCGTTTATGACACGTACACGCTACCACTTTTGCAGAAGTCTTAAACCCATCTACTCCTTATTTCATTGGGAGTGGCGGGTGATGGGTGGAGCGGCTCGTTCTGTGCTCTGCGTCTCTCTCGCAATCGTGCTCAGTAACCGTCGGGCTTAATTAGCATCGATCGCTCCCCTCTCCACCCGCCACTCCCTCTAAAACAGGGATTACAATGCGATGAGATACTGGAAAGAATCGAAATCTTGAAGTGTATCACACACAAAAATCAGCTTTGGTTTATACTCAGATTGCTGTTCATACATAGATGCTTTTTTCTTATGTTATGAACTACTATGGAAACTAAATCACTACTAGGTCTTTGAGTTCTTCACAGAACTTACAGTAATTTCAAACACAACTCTTCGCGCGATATCTGCGATATTTAAGTTGTGCGTCTGCACTAGGTTCAAAATGTATCAGACTTCATTATTCCGTTGAGCAGTACATCCAACATCGTCAGAAAATATGTTTAATGTTCGACATACATCTCTCATTGAAGGGATTTCAGCTATGCTATCAGTTGAAGTGCAAGGAAAATGTTTTTTTGGTTTCTTGTCTTTTCGCATTCGGGATCGGGTCCAAGAACCATACGGGTAGCGTAGCTTGCTTCGTGCCACTCATCAGTAGTTCTCGAAACTCCAATAGTGTCACACGAAAGAATCATAAAGTAAATGCAAAAGAGTCTTGTTGAGAGAGATGCAGTGGAGAAGAAATGGTGTCCTCTTGCTGTCTCGTTTCAAACTATTCCGCCTTTTTTAGGTGTTCATTCACTATCCTCCAATATTGTCTGAGTGGAAGATGTACTTCTACAGGAACCATAATCAAGCATAGCGAAAAGCCTGTCGTGTAAACTTTGAAAGAAAGTACTCACGGTCAGAAATTTCAACACTTCTAGCCATTCTTTTTGGACATTCTACATAGTTCGATTTAGCTAATGTCACTTCATATACACTTTGATTCAATAGGCGGCTGAAAAGCGGGGCTTCGAGGCTTAACCGAGGCTAGGGAGTAATCAGCACGTACGCGAGAGAGACGCAGACTGCGTCGCGGATGCGAGCAGTCACCTTCCAGCCGCTAATCCTGTTGATTCAAAAGGTATACTCGCATATGCTTTATTCTTCATAGTAGATCAACTTTCTGATGGATGGTGGCAGAGCATTCGTTTATTCTCCGAACTTTTGCACAGATCTAATGTGAACGTGAACGGGTACTATGATTAGGGCGCGTTCGCTGATGAGTTCTTTCACCGCTTCTGTCCGGTCTGTCTCTGTAGACGTGATATTCGCGGAAGAACGGTGTACGCTCAAGACGCTCAAGTTCCTGAACGAGAGGTTCAGTTGTTTACAGATGACATAGCATTAGGTAATTGACTGTTTTGCTTTTTTACATCTCTCAAAAACTTTATTACCAAACCGACTCAACACAAAACAGCCGACCATATTGAGCAAAAAGGTGACAGAACAACATCCATAAATGCTTCTGTGCGGTTAACAAAATGACTTTTCGATACTATGCTTTCTGAAACACCTCAACTCACAACGCTATCGAAGAACCGTTCACGATCCTTTGCTTTTCTACGGCGGTTATCGTCCACACGCTTATAGAATGCTTCATATTCTGGAAGCGACACGAGACCGTCTCCTAAATTTGAATAGGATTGACTATATTTTTTAATTTGCAATAGTTTTTATATCTGTAGTAGAATCTCGATTTGGCAGATGACTGAACAACTTTCCAATGGAAAACTTCACTAAGAATGTAACTAAACGAGGGCCCGAATTCAAAACTGGCTTTTTACATGAAAAAGTACACTTAAATGTTAATATACTCAACTCAGACAATTTACCGGAACTTCCGCAAGATAGGCAAAATTTGCAGCGGTTCCGCAAAATTTTGTATACTGTTGCAAAGTGGGAACGTTGAAAACGGGAACTCCCGCAGGCTTTTTATAAAGCGTCCGGAGCTTCCGAAAAATGCCAGCGGTTCCGCAGCACTTTGCGCCAGTATTTCCGCAAGTTTGAATGTGTTGTCTCGTATGATGTTGCCCCACCAACAATAAAGTCCATTATCAAACATGTCTGCCAAGTGCAGAGGATAGTAGGTGAATCTCACAGTCAATACAGTAAGATTCAAATCTTGCTTACAGTCTGCCCCAATCCTAACCAGGCCAAAACTGGCATGGAGGGAGACCGCGTCGCTAGGGTTTCGCGGTCACGCCCACGTCCTGCTTCTCTGCTCTCTCTTCACTCCTTTGGCTCTCTCCGACAGCGCGCATATGCAGCGCAGACCGCTAGCGCTGCGAGCGCGCAAATTTGTGCCACACTTCGGCTTGATCGCGATTGGAGTAGACTGTAGGTGTTTTCTTTTGCTGCTGTGGTTCTCATCTTTCGGAACTTCCGCAACACTTTACGGAACTTCCGCAAGTGACCCAGCGGAACTTGCCCAAACGTTCTGCGGAAATTCCGGTCAGTTGTCTGAGAATTTAAAAAGCACTAGCTGGCTTACCCGGCTTCGCCCCGCCCTGTCAAAACGAAAAAGGTTCCATTTCTATCCCTGTACACCTTTACCTGTGCCCACTTCTACATGCAATTCCCTATTCCCGCTGTGTTAGTAATCAGTATGCTCACCTACCTTCCTCATCAACCCCCCAGTCCCGTAGCTCAAATGCAAAAAAATAATAAAATCGATAAAAGTAAGGATAATTCTAAAAACTGATGGCGTTATTCGGCTATTCGGGCCTCAAAATGTTTTTGTGGTGGATCTTGCTCAAACTCGATATATGGGAATTATTCAAGCCGCTGATGACGAATATTGTAGTCATTTCGCGTGGCAGCGGGTAAAAATCATGAACCTGCCTGAAATCTTGGCATGGAATTACCTAAAGTGCTGTTTCAAGAATATCGTGCTTAGTCCCCACGATAAAGGCAATTCGTGTGGTATAAAAGTTTCCCATGACCGTAATGCTTTCCTTATAGGACCACTGCCGCGCGCGATACACCCTTCTGCGGCTTTTCTTAAGCAAAAACAGGGGGAGGGAGATTTGCCGCGTGCGTTACGTTAAGACATATCAAGATGGCGCTGGAGGCCGCACCATGCAAAACGACCGTTTCCCCATTTCGTGAATATCTGGGATCTAAATTGGCCCGAAAGCGAAAATGTCCATTCAAACCCTGCAACTCACCACCACTAATGCGTTATGACAGCGAGCAAGCATCATATTCATAAGCAGTACATTTGTGAACCGTTACAGGTAAGGTTTTGAGCAAATCTGGAACTTCGACCCATCTGCTGTACCACATTAACCCAAGAAAATGCGCTATCCTGCGAAATCAGCATGATTTTCATGTTCAGCGCGCTAAATGACTACCCTAGACGAAGTTTAAAGCAAATCTATGTTCGATCCCATCCTGTATAACCACCATAACTCTATGAAAAGGTCCCAATATGCAGAGAGAGTATGAAATTCGTAATCAGCATGTTAAATAAGTTCACTGGACCGAACTCCAACCAATTCATGATTTTGACTTCCTACGTACACCCATCGTAACCACACGGGGAGACGTTCTGCAGAGAAAATGTGATATCTGTAATCAGTATGTAAGATAACCCTTATAAACGAAGTTTGAGCAAGCTCTACGACAAAAAAAATTTGGGGCCCGGATAGCCGAACAGCGCGAAACTAATATAGTATTCGTAATCAGCATGCTCGATTACCCCCTAAACTCCTAACCCCGCAGGTCAAACTTTACAAAAAATCGATAAAATCGATAAAAGCAATCGATATCCGAAAACTAATATTGTATTCGTACCTGTGCCAACTCCCAGCCCCATAGGTGAACTCTGCAAAAAATCGCTAAAAATCGATAAATCGATATCGATCGATGTCAAAAGTAGCCTATGACACCCGCCGGGGCCCGAAGTGTATGTGTGCAAAGTTTGGTCTGGATCGGTTCAGAAATGGAATTTTCTATTCGGAACTACGTACAGACAGACAGACAGACAGACAGACAAACAGACACTCAGCTTTGCAGTCTGCCCCAATCGTAACCAGGCCAAAATCGGCATGGCGGGAGTCCGCTTCGCGAGGGTTTTGCGCCACATCTGCGGCTAGCTAGTCTGCTCTCTCCTCGATCTCTTCACTCTCTGCAACGGCGGGCGTGTGCAGCGCAATCCCTTACGGTGCGAGCGCGCGAATTCAGTCGACGGTCGGCGTGATCCCGATTGGGGCAGACTGTATATATGAGATCAAACGCTGTTTCAAAACTGTCTTTGTTTTTTGCCAAGCGCCTCCAGACGCTAAGTTCTTGGAAGCGAAAAAACAGCACAATCTAGGTAAAATCAATGGTTATGGTGTTTTCAGCGCTCAAATAAAGAAATGTTGAGATGAGTGCGAAATCTTGAACGAATTTGTACCAGTTCTACGTTCAGTTTTTGAGGCAAAAACGGTCGTAACTCAGCATCTACAGGCGCTGGCAGATACCAAAGGCAGTTTTAGAATCAGCGTTTGGTGATTTTTAATTGGTGAATAACTCGTGTGGAAAGCTGATTTCGACTGCGCACTTGTCCTTATCAAGCTTGTGCCGACAAATGTAGAGTGCTCACCATTTTCATCCAGTTTGTGAAATTTGGTTGATTGTTTTTCTATATAGCGAGTATCGGCAAGAAGAAATTCGGTAAATGAAACTCGTTCGTCTCCATCACTGTCCATACGTCGAAATTCTCAATCGGTTTGATGCAGCAGGTTTTTCGGTCAAAAATCTGAGGGTTACCTTTAGTAAGTGGGTTTATCCTATCTAAGGGTATGGGAGTGATACCCTCTTCTCTGATGGTGTTTTTAGCCATTTCTATCAATTCGAGCATTGTTAGAAAGACCAATACAGCGAACATTCCTAAAGTATCGCAGGCTACAGATTGACAAAGTCATCCACTTTCAAAAATTACTCTTACCCAAAACTTAGTACGACTTCGCCAGAGAACAGTAGGATCCTATACTATGCCAGTGTCGCAGCAACAATGAAAGAATACTAGCTGCGTACATCATGCAAGAACCATTTTATAGTTATGAGAGATGTTTTTACAACCAAGAAAACTTCTCGTTCGAGTTATGCAATGGGCAACGTTGATGTGTTCATAGACTATACAGCTAACAACAGCATCATTATCTTACGTTGAGTAAGAAAGCTGATCCAGTTATCAGCCCGGAGATACACATGTCGTTCCTCGCATCCATTAGTTCTTCCCATATGAAAGGTCTTCAAGACAAAACCCAATTTGGGCCTCGAAAAACAACGTTGTTCACTGGTTTAAGGTAATTGCAGTATTGTCGGGGAGTTGATGAAGCATAATGACTTGCAACTCCGTATTGCATTCCTTGCATTCTGTAGAAAATAGGGAAGTAGTGTCTAATCTGATATTACTTACTGGTGAGTTAAACCTAAACAAGTGATAAATTATTGGTTGTTCAAAAAAATCTGTCAACCTTTAGAAAGCTTATTTTAAATGCTGATGAAATGCGAGGCGAAATGCACAAATGCGCCAAATACCATTCCTCGTATAAATAGGTGATTCTATTTAATATCTAGCGTAAATTTATATTATAAATTAATCTTATATAAAAAGCTGAATGTCTGTTTGTCTGTCTGTCTGTATGTCTGTCTGTATGTCTGTATGTGTGTACGTATGTTCCGAATAGAAAATTCCATTTCTGAACCGATCGGGACCAAACTTAGCACACATACACTTCGGGCCCCGGCGGGTGTCATAGGCTACTTTTCGTCATCGATCGATATCGATTTTATCGATTTTTTGCAAAATTTGAGTTACGGGGCTGGGAGTTGGCACAGGGGGGTAATCGAGCATGCTGATCACCCCCGTGGGGGTGGTCAGCATGCTCGATTACACTCCTCTGCCAAATCGACATCGATCGATAACGAAAAGTGGACTGTGACACCCGCCGGGGCCCGAAGTGTATGTGTGCCAAGTTTGGTCCCGATCGGTTAAGAAATGAAATTTTCTATTCGGAACATACGGCGGAGCCGGGTAAGCCAGCTAGTTTTACATAATACAGGGTGTCCCAAAAAGATGTGCACACTGTTTGATCGTTAATAACTCTCCTGCGTTCATGTCTTTTGTCGAGCTTAAAGTACCATTCTGTAGAGCGAGGTTCAACTTGAATTTGCATTGTGAAGCAAATCATCGATCGCTCTTCATTACTGTAAATTCCCTACGGGAACTTCGAGGATGATTGTAAGCCATCAAAATCGGTATTTTGCCGGTATTTTGCGTCAGAAAGAAACCCAAACAAGCCAGAAACTCGAAGTGTGCTAATCGAAGTCGCTGATTCCAAGTATGAAGTTTGCGCTTCAGTATAGTGCCTCTTTCATAAGTTGTTTCAAGATTGGGCTGGTAACTGTCTTTCCAATGCTCGTCAAAAATGTGAATACGCCATCAAGAAAGCTCGAAAAACTGATGAAAAGTCATGTAATGAAGTCAGCACGTCTGAAAACCTTGCTACACAAATTTTCAGATTTTTTTTTTGAAATTATTTCGTTAAGAGGCCTATTCCGAAGTAATGCTGTATGCTGGAAGTTCATACCGTAATCCTACAGTAATGAAGAGTGACTGGTGGTTCGCTCCTACTGCTAATCTAAGTTGATCCTCGCTCTACAGAATGGTACATCAAGCTCGGTAAAAGACATGAGAGCAAGAGAGTTATTAACGATCAAACAGTGTGCACATTTTTGGGACACTCTGTATATATCATCGACTTCCAGATTCGTGTGGAGGCGGGTTGCGGACTTTCCTGATTTTCAAGGTAAACTTGTTGAACCTCCACGTTTTATAGCACTGTATTTCGTACCCTCTCGCTAAGCTTATCCTTAAAATCAGGGAAGTCCTCAATATATTAGGTTGTCCCGAAAGTTTTGTCGGTTTTTTTCATCGCTCATCAAAACTCACAGAACACCAATCCATGAACGACCTAGGTACCATTTGTTTAGATTTTTGTCCTCTTTCTTACTGCTATATTTGCTCTTTGATCTAACCCAATTTTGCGATGTTATCGCCATGGCTCTTTGAGCAGCTCTTCAGTCAAGCCAAATCTTTCTTAAATTCAAAAATTTTTGTCCTTATACTTGCAAAGAGCGTTGGTGACTGTTAGTAGAGCAAATCTTTGGCTACATTGTACCTATTTTAGATTACGTGGGCCACGTTTATCAAGTCCGTAATAATTATTTGATTGAGAAAAACTTCGGCTTTTTAGATACGTTTACCACGTACGACTACCGAAAATTCCAAAAAGCTGATTTTTGAAGCAAATCAAACTTGGTTATGTTGCATAAATAATGTTTAATAACGATCAAGCTTGAGTTCGCAGAAACTTCAAAACTTTCATGTTTTTGCAGCAGCTGCGTGTTTCATAACTTTGCCAAAAATCGAGGCCTCGGAAGAAATGTTGTTTTAAAGCTAAAAACAGCAGATCAGGAGAGTCTAAAAATATCATCGTAAAGCCCTAGAATTGCCCTATTTGTTTTATACTGAGTTTTATCCAAAACTTTAAAATGAAATTTCTGAAAATTAGCCTAACTTTGAGCAGATAAAAATGGCGGTGAAGAATTGTGGCATTTATTAAGAAAAGCATACAGGATTGCGGTCCGAAAATATAACCATAAGAAAGAGAAGGAAAAGCTGCGTCGAATGCATCTTGAAACACATACAAGCTTTTACTGTGCATGGTTTTATAGTGGTTTCAAAAAACCGACAAAACTTTCGGGAGAACCTAATATATATATATTTGAATAATACCCACCCTACCCTTAGATGGCTTTCAACTTTTCGTTCCTTGTCGATAGATTATCATTTACCAAAATAACTCGGAAAAAGAGCTTTGCGATATCGGAAATTGCCACATAAGAATTTTTCATTTCTTGTCTTTTTGGAACATAGATACATTATAACTGAAGCAAAATCATAAATTATTCGCAATCATTTAACGATCTCCTCCTCAGAGCAAGCTATTGCAAAAAATAAGCTCCTGAGCATAACACTTTTGCGTGTGATAAGTTGGCTTCCAGTCAACCACATCAAACAGAAATAGACCCGGAAGTAATAACAATAGTCCTTCAAATTGTGGTGGCATTGTTTTCATGGAGAGTGCTAAGCCAGAAGTCTAGTTATACCTACTCACTGTCGAGTAAACTGAACTTTGGGACTGTTCACATGGTTAGCTGTTGAGGCAGTTTGCTCAGTACGCCTCATAGAGCCTGTGAGTAAATTGTGAAATGCCCTTGAGTTTGATAAAATATCAGTGTTACCAGCCGCTATCTGCCGCTGCGCGGCAGGTTCGGCTGATACTCAGCAGCTCCGCTGCCTCGTGAACTTTTCGTTTTATTTTTACTTTTTACTTTAATGCGGAAATATGAAAATTTGCAGACAATTTGCCATCTTGCACGAATCAGATTTATAACCTGCGCAGAAAGAAATACTGAGGACATATTTTCGGCATTATGACTCAATATTCTAAGCAACGTATACTACGTAAACTGCGAAAAAAAATAGTGAATCGATAGAGACGATCCGTGTGTCCCAAACAAAATGGCTTATTGAAACACGCCCCACCTCATACATTATATCTGACAAAGTTGGCTTAGATTCGATGAATTCTTCTGTTTTATTTGTGCGAACATAGAAAATTTCCTAGGCAATCTGCAAGAAATCGGAAATCGATAGAGGCAATCCGTGCGTCCCGAACAAAATGGCTTATTGACACACGCCGCACCCTATACATTACGTATGCCAAATTTGGTTTAGATTCCATTACTCCTTCTAACTTTTTTAGGCGAAGATACAAAAAGTGGCTAAGCCAAATATTATAATATATAAGTATAGATATAATACGCTTATTCATCTCTGTCTGTCTTTCATGAAGAAAATTAGTGCAAATGATTCGCAATTTTTGGAAGGATGTGAAGGAGTGATAGCAAGAGAGGTTTATTTTGTTCGGGTTCGGGGTCAATAAAAAAAAGGTTATGGGGATACCGTCGCCACTGTGTCAGTTCACTTCATATTTTTAATAAGATAAACAGAGGAGTCTCGAAGCAGAGGTGAGCGCTGGCATTTATTAACAAGGCTTAGATCTACGCAAACTTATGTTTGAAGCTTTTCGAATGATATGCAGTGGTGAGTGTAAAGTGATAGGCCGGTCTTTACCACAGACGTGGATACTTTACTTACACATAATTCGCAGCCCCGTAGACCGTAGCTTATCTTTTTCTTGAGTATGCTATTACAAAATCGATTTCGAAGAGTTTATTTGTACAATGTCAATACCGAAAACCGTTCAATGATTCACAATCATGAAGCACATAGAATAGAGGAATTGTGTGAAACTCTCTGCGAGCTGATATATTCAATCCAAAAAGTGAGGTACGCTCAAAACGTCACTGTCACCTTGTGTTTGAGACATGCCGGATCTCAAAGATAAAAGGCTTCCCACTCCTCAAATAGTGCTTCTGGATCCTCAGCAGCTTTCTCCTAGAATGCTTCTCTAGACAGTCAATATCAGATTTTGACTGAGCTTCCTCAACAAAAAACATCATGGAATTCTCTGCACGAGATCGGAATTTGTCAAGTGACATCAGTATGAAGTAAGCAAGTAGAATTGAATATATGTAATCCTACCACCGTTCTTTCTTAACTAACCTGGATTTCCTGGCGAGCATCCTTGACAACGACGCTCCCATCAGGCCTGATAACTCTCATTCCTGGGATAGTTCTAGCCTGGTATTTTTCCAGCAACTCCCTTGAAATGGAAGTTTCAGCATACAAGTAATAATTGAGAAAGAAATGGACTGACTCAATCTTAGGATCACCAAATGGGATAAAGGTCCAATCACCCATATGCTCATCGTAATATTCAAAGAGTTCATCGGCTTCTTTGTCACGAGAAACAAGCACTATTTCGAAGTCAGGATGAGTTTCTTTAATCGCTTCATAGAACCTCTGAAAAGTGAAATTGTAATATATTTCCACATTCACTAAGTTGTAAGCTAATTCATCTTGATAAGAAATTATCATTCCTATATGTGTGACTTCAAGCAAGAACAAGCCAAGTAACACAGAGACATGAACTGCCCCTTTAGAAAATATCCTATAAAGTCCATAATACTCACAGAAAGATGAGCTAGATAACTAATTGTAAGTCAAGAATTTTGGAGTTCCAGGCCTGACAGTCTTCACGTTGCTTTGCATTTGCAACAAGAGTTTACTTAGACTGGCTAATTTGTGTTACTGACAGGGTCTCAAGATGAATTTTTAGCTTTGAAATCACAAACCGAGGCTTTTAGGCTTGGGCAACGACTTCTACTGCAAAAACATGCATGGTGCCCAAATTCACCAAACTGACTTTCAAAGTCAACCATCGCTTTACAGACGCGAAAACACATTTACAAAAACTTGAAGAAAAACTCGAGAAACTCTTTTGAATACCTTCAGCTTAGGGGTAAATGCACGGCATGGCGGACACCAGCTAGCAGAAAAATAGAGACCGACCATCTGAAAAAAAGTATTATTACTCTATAATAGGTGCCAAACTTATCAAAACCTGAAAATCATCCAGCGATGTTAAACGACAGGAAGTCAAAGAAAAATAATCGCACCTTTCCTTTTAGATATTCGCCAGCGTCGACTTGACTGCCATCCTTGAGTTGAATCTTGACACCAGAAAGCAACTCGGCCATGTCTAAATTCGTACAATGAATATTAGGTTCTAACTCACCAAAAACAGCCCCTAGAAAACAACCAAAAAAAAGAACTTTCTGGCGATAGAACTGCTACTAACTTGAATGGTATATTTTGCCGCGCAATCGATCCGCGCGCGCGATAGAGCGCACTATTTCGGGTGTGAGGCAGGTGATGAGTGCTGGAGGCGATTTTCCCAAAAATATCTGTTGGTAATTGGAGAGCAAGTAGCGTTGATTCATGCTGACATGCATCATCGACTACTTTTGCTGAATTCTAGTAAAGATAGTTGGTTGAAGCCGTGCCAATGAGAAACGAGCAGAACAATTAGAAGAACGTGGGCTCTGACTGCTAGTTGGCCTGACCTCAGATAATAGCTCTATTAAAAATCAAATCAAATTCTTTAGAGAGGTTTCCTTGTACATTGTGCTCCGGTCTGTGCACTGTCTTTTTTCTTCCTTATTTACTTTGTGATAATATGATGATCCAGCCATCCTTCGCGCTGTTAAATCATCTCACAAGGGAAGTCACTTAACTTAGGTCGGGCTTTTGAAATGGGATACATATATTTAGAATCAGCTCGGAACGCTGATTCCAAATATGCTATCATTAGCTGCGAAGCGTTTTTCTGAAGCGAGTTATGAGTTTTTTTAGTATGTGTCATTGACATGCAACTGAATATGGAAAGAAGGTCTTTGGATGAAAATCTGCCCAAAAAGTGGTGGAAAACCAAAATAACATCAAATTGAGTCAATTGGCTTTGATAGGGTATAATATGCATTTGAACCACTACCTAGATGATGATACCGTAGCATGCCTAAGTCGGTCAACACGCAAAATTTGCTCAAGAAAAAGCTCATAACTCGCTTCAGAAAAACGCTTCGCAGCTAAGGAAAGCATATTTGAAATCAGCGTTTCAAGCTGATTCCAACCATATGTGTCTCATTTCAGAAGCCCGACCTAAGTTGAGTGACTTCCCTTGTCAGAAACTTTTTCGTTGTTCGACAGCACCGAATTACGCAAAACCATGGTCAACAATAGATCTCGTTTGCATGCGAAGCAAAATGGAATTTAGATTTTGCCTGGTTTTCTTCTTCTTTTTGGTTGTCTTTCTACTGTATGCCTTCAAACCAGCCTAAAACCGAACACTAATCAGAATCTTCTTCTTGTTTTGGGACTCTCATAACTGGAGACGTGTTGAGCAGACTTACACTACATTTTCTAGTCCCGAATCCATTCCTCGACTTTGCGGGATTTCTTCAAGATCAAGTAAAAACCGTTCATGTTTGTTAAGTTGAAGCTAGGTTGTCTTCGTACTAACACTTAGAGAGTAATCTTATTGAAGTGTATATGTACTTTAAGCGCAAAAAGACGAGCTTTTCCTTCAGGAAATATTAGGGTGAATGGTAAAAAATGGGACACTTACGAAATAACTTGAGGTTTCTCAAGAAAGAGAAGTGATTGGACATTCCAATTTTGATAGTTGTTAGAATATGTTATTCTCTTTTAAACAATACCTATATGAGGTCATTTACATAATAAATAATTTTTATACTTGCTGAAATCCAAAGTCAATCACTTCGACAAATTAAGAACTTTGAGCAGTATCTGCGCAGTGAAACATGTGAGACCCTGTTGGAGTTCTTCACGACCAGGTCCCGGCACCGATGGTTTAGGGTCAAACTGGACTTCGTTTTTGGAGTTAGAAGCAACGGGGACATCGTTTTTATGACGTCCTGGAGGAAGCGCCAAAAAAAAACACGGCGAACATGTCAGGTTTTACGAGTTGAACGTGTTCTTTCGCAAGCGCGCGAATTTCAAATACAAGACTCAAACAAACAAATGGCTTGTTTACAGCTCACAAACAATCACAAGGCTCCGAATTTGGGCTATGAGTCTACAATATTACTCCAAACTATGTTATGTAAAAAGTTCCCAAAACTTATGTGTCTGAATACCCGTTCCAGATTTGTTGGTTTCTAGACCAACCACCGAACCAACTGGGTTGGTTCGGAGCATAAATTTCGGAGAGTTCACATAAGTTTTAAACCTTTTTGATTTAGACGATTAAAACGCTCAAAAATCTATTATATAGTGAAGAGAGCGAATCAAACCATTGCCTCTCCTCTCTTCTTTTGAGCCAAAAGTAGTGCAGTTCTGCGCGTTGATAGATATTGCGCTCCAATCACACGCGGTGTCCTTTGAACTATGTGGCGAAAAATGCATCGCCGGGTTGTTGAGGCCACAGATTTGGTTGGCCTAGGAGGTTTTCGATTTCCGAGCACTAAAATGGTGCTATACTCAATGGCAGAGCCTTTAATCTACTCGAAATGTATTTTTTTTTGCTTTTTTGTTATACTATATAACTTAAAATGCGCTTTTTTCGCTTTTTTATTGTTATTTTGGTTGAATAAGGATTTCCCTATTGATTTTTACAACGAGAGGGACTTCGTAAATTTTCGAAAAGTCATGGGGGACTTCGTTTCCAGAAACGCTTCAAACCAACGCGTGCCGGGCCCTGTTCACGACGCCACGCGTACGGTTATGAGAGAGGAGCGGTAACACGTTGCCAGAATAATAGGCGAAGGTCGGTTATGTAAGCGACGTTTGAGTTGCAGCGTGCTTGTTATTGGTGAGGACAAAAAATCTTAAAATGTAATAAAAATCAAGCTGCCCCATTTTTTACCGTTCACCCTAATATTTAAATTTATGAGGATCTGATCGAAGATGCTCGAAAACTGGCTTCGAAACAAATTTTCACAGCCCTTTTTCAGAAGACTATTCTCAAAGAACTACAAAAATTTTTTTAATAGCAGCATCTGAAAAAAGCTGGCACATTTGATGAAGCTGCCGCATGTATTTGTGACTCCAAGCCGCCAAAAATTGTGGAAGAGTAGTAAAAGCTGCATAAAATGCAAATGATCGTATTCATCCATGGAGTTGCATGTTGGGATACTTGTTCTAACTTTAAATTACTTCTTGGGAAGTAACAATCACATTACGATCAGAAGAATACAAAACAGGACTGAAACTCAGATACTAACAATGTAACCATTGTTTTTTTGAAATTAAACGTTATAATAGGTTGATAAATATCATTTGACAATAAATCAATATCCAGAGCACACGGAATGTCCCAAAAGTGTGCATGACATTGAAATTAATCAAAATTTCGGGTGCGGAAAAAGTACTGTCCCTCTAAATGGAGACGAAAAAATCGGCGTGATTTTTAGGTTTTTCTGGTATCGACAAGATTCCAAAATGGGAATGCATTCCAGAATTTTACAGAAAGCGACTGCAAGTATTTGCAATTTCAGTCGACAGGGGATCCCCTTTCGCAACGCATCTCTTACCAATTCTTGCAACTCTCTTTCACAAATGTAAAGAAAGTGTGCAAATTTTCGAAAAATTCTTTTGTTTTCAACGTGAATATGAGAAATCTTCTATTGCTTGAGGAATGTGGTAGCGTCTTCGAGATATGCTGGAAGTAGCCAGACTGTAGTTGAAGTAGGAGAAAGGTTGTGAATTTTTACTTGACAAAATAGCGTCTGCGGCGCAATAAGGTGCGATAGGGAGCATGGTGAAGAAGCTACGTGCAATCGTTTACTGACCCCAAATTATGATGTATACAACACCCGACGTTCTTTTGAACCCTATCAATTCTGTCATTTTTTCTTGGAATGTAAAATTTTGAAACATAGTTTGGTTTCAATTTGTTGGCAAGAGCAATTCCAACTCGTCTCTTTTCAAGAATAGGCCTGGGATATAATTTTCCTTGTTTAGCCAAAACCTCAAGACGGTGTATAATCAGTATAGAATTTTGGAGAGGAGATTATGCTCCACCACCATCTTGATTTGAAATTGATATTACTTCTGGCGGTATAGTTACGATTTGAAATCGCGCTCAGACGTTGCGGCGACTCGTGGACGATTCTGCTTGCTGTTATCACTCGTTTTAATGGATAGAAGGAGACCATTCAAAATTAAGTTTATCTTAGCCGAATCTACAAGGTCTTGCTTACATGAAAGAAATAAGAAGCTATTGAATCCCTTCATATAGGTATTTTAGGAGGCAAATTGAGAGACATACTTTTTCCTCACCCTATCCCTATAGAAGCAGGGTGCTGATGATTACAAACACAAACTTGTCAATCGACTCTGATGTCTCCGCACAAAGTCTTTTGCTTTGCCTTAAATATTTTTTTGTATAGTTGAGTTCCTTGGATTTACAGTGTGTGATCCGAATCATCGGTCGATCTCGTTCACTGTAAAACTACGGCAGGAACTTCCAGCATAGCCATTGTGGAATAGCCTTTCGAAAAAAATCCGTAAAAATCTATAAAGTTATGTAGAGTGTTATCGGACATGCTAATTTCATTACGCTATTTTTACGAACCTTAGGCGCTTCAAATGGTTAATCACAATTTCTTAAACTTTGAAAAAACGTTGTTGCGGTTTATCTGGCATAACCTATGTAGAAAGCCTTACGGTAGATGCATTCGTATAAATAGTCAGCAACTCGGTTTAGCCCTATGATAGAGTCTTCAGCATGTTGAATATCCGTTTCGGTGCAGATTGGACCCGCTGTTGGCTCGAAACCCGCTTTTAACAGTAGTGTTACAGTAAAGTGCGAGGGTGACTTGTTGTTTCATACTGTAAATCTAATTAGGGAAGGATCCCAAATCAAAGTGGCGATCTGGAACGAAATGCAAACACTAGTGTCCCGTTGAGCTGAATCATCTACCTCCCGCATCTGCTGCGAGATTTTTTTGAAGAGGTTATGAGCGTTTGAAAGTTCAAAGTTGGCAAACATTCAATGGCATTTCTTCAAGGATTAGTCGTTCAAAAGCACTTATATATTTGTCTGGTTGATGTGTGTACTCCCCCTAGTCAGCACATTCAACATCTTGCCAACTACGCATTCTTAGGCCCTTATGCACTAACATCTCTCCGGCGAGGGGAGTTCGTTCCCAATGATGGCAAACCGTAAAGGCCTTCGTAAGCAGTCTCTTCATAAAGCGAGCCGTCGCTCCCCTCGCCGTAGAGATGTTATTGCATATGAGCCTTACTGATTTTAATGCGCACTGTGCATTAGAACTTTAACGATTCCATACTTTCAATGGCTCATAAAACGTTCAAAAATCTCGCAGCAGATATGGAAGATTGAGTTGTAATCAATTCATCAGAACGATTCAACGATGATATGCATATCATTGCAGTTCGCCACTGCGATTGACCCTTCCCATGTTAGTGTCATATACTTACTGGTGTACCTGTTCATTAACCTTTAAAACTTCTAGGCTTGAAGACCCTAAAGGTTAAGGTGTTCAAACATTAATCTCGCTTGCGATTGCTGTATTCCAGCTTTCAACGTTCATTCATAATTGAAATGTGACAATAAGGAGGGAAGGCAATAAAATATTAGGTTGTCCCGAAAGTTTTGTCGGTTTTTTCAAACCATTATAAAACCACGCACAATGAAGACTTGAATGAGCTTCAACATGCTTTCGATGCAGTTTTTCCTTCTCTTTCTTGTGGGCACATTATCGAATCAAAACCTTTTATGCTTTTTCCGATAATTGCAAAAGTTCTTCACTCGTCATTTTTATCTGCTCAAAGTTCGGCTAATTTTCTACAATTTCGTTTCAGCGTTCCGGAGAAGCTTGTGTATGGATTAAAAAGAGCAATTCTCGGACTACAAGGACATATTTTTAGGTTCTCCTAATCTGCTGTTTTTAGCTCTAAAAAATTATTTGTTTGAAAGTCTCGATTTTTGGCAAAGTCATGAAACGCGCAACTGCAGCGAAAACATGAAAGCCTTCAAAGTTTTCGCGAATTGAAACTTGTTTGTTATCAAACATTATTTATGCAACATAACCAAGTTTGATTTGCTTCAAAAATCTGCTTTTTGGAATTTTCGGTACTTTTGCGTGGTAGACGTAATCAAAAGGCCGCGGTTTTTATCAAATAAATAATTATAACGGACTTAGTAAACGTGGCCCATGTAATCTAAAATGGAGACAATGTAGCCAAAGGTTTGCTCTACATAATGGTTATCAGTGCTCCTTGAAAACATCAGGATAAAGAATTTTAAAATTCAGCAAAGATTTGGCGTTACTGATGTACTGCTCAAAACGCCAGGACGATTACATCGCAAAGACAGGGTAGATCAGAGAGCAAACATAACTATAAGAAAGAGTTTAAAAATCTGAGTTAAATGGTACCTAAGTCGTTCATGGAATGTTGTTGTGTGAGTTTTAGTGAGCGATGAAAAAAGCGGACAAAACTTTCGGGACAACCTAATAGTTATGCTTGAACAAAGATTCTCTTGTGTTTGGCGATACATCCGCGGTTATCGTTCAGGCGCTTATGGGATTACCTGCCTTCAATGTTGGACCCCATATCTTATGGTTTATTGTAAGTTACGGCGCTTCTTGATGAACGCTACGCCAGCCATAAGTGATTGACGAGTACTCATTATCTAAGCAGCCTCACTCCTTTATTAATCTGAAAAAAGGCGAGAGCAATGGATGTTAACGCTGATCTTCAAAAAGGTGAGAGTCATCCAAGAAGATATATCCTACTATGTGCATATTTGCAAAGAAAAAACAAGTGAAATGAAAAGAAGAATCGTCTTATTGATTTAGGGACAGAAGATTGTTGAAGATTTCTACTATTTGACGAACTTTGTATTCTTCACTCCTTTTACAGGATCTCAAGTCAGATCTACAAGAAAAACACATCTTAACTTTTCAACTAAGACCTGGCGTAGAGGCACCAGAAACAATTATTGGAAGAAATGAAGAGAGCTTTCCAAAAAAGATAGACTGTCGCAAAAAGCAAAAAAACGTCGCTTTAAAAACGCGTTCAAGGAATCATCGATTTTGTCTCCCATATTATATTCAAAATTTTACTAATGAAGAAAACCTCCACTTTGTTCCGTGTGATAGATCTGCACAACACCAAGCCATTATACTAGTTTTATTCTTAGAGGCATTTGCATCAGTTAGCGAATGAAACATAAAAATCTACTACTCGTGTAAGCTGTATGGCCATTTTTGTCACTCCAAGCATTACGCTTCTGCCACGTATCAAGTGCATATTCTGAAGGTCAAACTTCGGTTGAAGAACAGTATGACTAGTCTGGAAAGAAAGTTTGGAACGATATACTCAGAATGCCGATGGCGTACCCGACTACGGTATTTGCTATCTCCTCGATACACAGAGTGAAAACAAAAACCTTCCATTTACTCGACGCCTGGGGTGCAAGTACATGGAAAGAAACAACAATGACAGCAAAGCAGCCAGCCATCAGACATCCCTGAAGTGCAATACGTTGTAAATCTTGTAAAGGCAAGGAGAACAAAAAACTTTCGTAGAGCTTCAGAGTGGAGCGCTACACGTGCAGTTCATCATTATCTCCCAGCAGCGGGTGCGGGAAATTAGGTACCCCAGTGGCTGGACTAAAGCGTAATTCCGAGTTTATGAGTGATCGTGAGCTGTCAATATGGATGATTAGCATCCGTCCATAGTGCATTTCAGTACCCGCATCGGGAAAGTCACTCGCACCTTAGCGTGGGGAATGAAACCGGAAATTATGAACAGTTATGAAACTGAAAGTTTAGTATCCAAAGTTGTCTAAACGAAGTAAAATCGGGAATCCCCAAATGTGCTTCTTCCAAGTAGGCAGCCCGTTTACCTGAGGGGCTACAAAGAAGCGCCTGATAACTGTAACACGAATTTGAACTGAATTAGAGCTCGGAGCTCAAAAGTTGTTCAGGTGGACCGAAAACCTGGACATATTAATTCTAAGGACGCTCTTTCTGAGTATGTAAAATGTACTGCTCAAAATCTTTCGATTGATTCAATCCGGCACCAGCTGCCAGTACCTAAGTTCCGTTTCCCCTTATCAGCCCGTTCTGAGTCAGTACTACCACGAGATATTCTTGATTATAGCGATATTGCGTAGCTACTACTGCGATCTTTGAACTATGATTGAAAAGAAATTATTGAACAGTCAAAGAATTCCATGCCAGTTTCAGTAAAAGGACTGCTCAGCAACAGACTTCAGGTCGATTTCTTCCTAAACAGCTCAAAAAAGAAACATGTGTAAGGTTTTGTTTATTTGGATCAGTCCAAAAACTCATTGCGCTACTGATAAAGTGTCAACCTTATACAAAGTCATAATCGTGTTCTGTAAGCTTTGGTGATAGTTACTCCCTCTTATCATTGGGAGTGACGGGTGGTGGGTGGGGCAGCGCTCAAGCGGCGCCGCCTCCTTGGGCTTGCTTCTCCCTCGCAAGCGTGCTCTCTGGTCATTTCCCCAGGCTTGTTTAGCGATCAAAGCTCCGCCTTTCCTTACGCTCGTGGGCACTCGCACATCCGTTCATAGGAATTAAAGGCGTTACGATGTTTTTGTGTCCTATAATCTTCAACAAATCTGTTTATTAGTTTTAATAATCGGTAGGTGGGAACGTAATGGCTTGCCTTACAACGAAGCATGAAGTACGTGAGCTCATTCCGCAGAAAATAAACAAGTGCAAAGCTCAAATCAATAACAAAGAATTTTAGAAAACAGTTTGGGGCCGTTAACAGAACGTTCAATTTGACACTTCACTCATAATGCTTACCTGAACATAAAGTCGGACGTTTTTCTTTAGAACAATAAGTTGTCTAGCAAAGTACGTCGTTCGTGTTCGCATCAGTTCCTAAAATGTTAGAGTGAATGAAGTTGCTTTTAACTGATTAAAACTCTCAACAGGAGTTGTTGAAACAAACTATACCTAGTCAACTTTTCTAGCGAATAGGTAGGCTTGTTTTGTGCAGATTTGTGCGCATCTTTTCTTTAATAGTGAAGATAGACTTACTACAAGGCTAACGCTCTATGATGCTCATTGGCATTTTTACCTCTAAGGACAGCCTCTAGAAAAAGCTAATAACACTTTTAGTGAAATATATATACCTAATCTAAAAAACTGCGCTGACTCTGTTAAATGTAGTGGAATGGTTTTTGATTGAGCATGTTGTAGTGTACTAGGTCTTTTCATTTGTCAAAGTCCCTGTGTTTTCAAGAAGTTGCTAGCGAAGGCAGATTTAGGTAGTTTTCCATAGATTTCATACCTCACAGTTGTAGTGTTTTACTTTCCGAAAATTCATGTGTTGCAGTTTGCGTATATCTTCATACCCTCTTGCATTTCTTCTCACGACTCAAAGCAGCAAGCTATGTGCTATCAGAGCTGGGAGTCAAAACCGCACGAGTTTCACGAGCTACAACTTGACTTTTTTAAGATTAGATATATACTCGAAAAAACTGATTAGTTCCACTCTTCAAAAAAAAAAACTAGATTTGCCCACAGTTCGTCGGAACATCGCTGTCCTCCACAAAATTGTGAGGTCCTCGCAGTTTTTTTTTCAAAAACTGCACAGTCCATAAGTACCTTCTGTTGAGAGGTAGTACCTCAAACTCAGGTAACTAAACCAGCCATGACATTTTTGCCAAACAAAGTGCCTTTAGTCGGTGCACATATGAAACATGACAGGTTTCAGACAGAAATATATTATTAAAGTTGGTTCTTTGAAATGTCAAAATCAAACCGTATCTTTTTGATTAGCTGTTGCAGGTGATTCTTCATCCAAACGTAATGCTTAGCTCTTCTCTTAGAAACATTCGCATAGTGATATTAGGGCATAAGTTCTGTCCGATTTGAATTTTTTGAGTTAAAAATCTCATAACTTCTTTCAAAGTCAACTTTTTTTTTCAAGATCTTAGTTTCTACATGTTAAGCAGTTCCTTGGCTGTCAGACACATTTTGAGGCTTGCAAGAATCCTTGTTAAGGAAGAAGCAAGAACTTAAAGACTTTACGGCGTTTTTCTTCAAATCTGTCTTTTTGATATGGCCATGCTCCCCTATGAGAATTAATAGACATCTTATCAACAAAGGATAGATAGAGATTTATTTTTTTGATTGAGTGAAAAAGAAAGCACTTTTTGATTTCGCTTTAGCACATGTGTGTGTGCATGCCTGTTCACGAATTAGATAAAATTACAATTGACGTGAGCGCTGCAAAGGAAATGGTGGATGGGCCCTGGACTCCTCAATTACTTCTATTCGCAAGGAGTTACTGCTTATAAAAATTTATATAAAAGATTAATATTTGGCAATAGATTTTACCAGCAAGACGTTTTCTTCACGAAACTGAGCTTGCATATACTAGCCTTCTACACTCTTAGGGACCCGTCGTACTTTGCCGAAAAAAGCCCAAAAGCGCCCAAAAAAGCCCAAAAAGCCCAAAAAAGCCCGAGAGCGCCAGAAAGAGCCGGAATGTAGAGACGAGCTTTTGGTAGAATTCTGACATTATCGTATCATGCGGACGACAGAAAATGACAAAAAGGCTTGATTGCGAAGTCAACACACATGCTTAGCGCCAAAACGTGCGAGAAGTGTTCCGGCTCTTTCTGGCGCTTTTGGGCTTTTTTGGGCTTTTTTGGGCTTTTTTGGGCTTTTTTCGGCGAAGTATGACGGGTCCCTTATGTCGCAGCCAATGAAAGAACTCGACTTGAAGGGCGCATTGTGGAGATTTCCTCGCAAGAACATATTTCTAGAGTGAGAACGTACCTCGGTTATTTGAAGATTTTAGGTCTGAAATTTCCTACTAAGAAATTTACTGAAATTTGATATGCGTTAGAAAGAACAAAAAATCACTTTCTAATGGTACTAACAATATCGCATTAGAGATGAGGTTCTCTTAGAACAGTTGCTTCAAACATAAGGCAAAAAAAATCGGACAGAACATATGCAGCAGCCTAATAATTGTTTCTCAATGGGGAAACACGCAATTACAATCAGTTATAAGGAATGTTACTTTATAAGAAATGCTTATAAAAAAATAAGCTGCTACTCACAGGGCCTGGCATCAGCTGGCACGGGGCAAGCTGGATATCGTTTTTGGAGCAAAAAGCAAAGGGGGTTTCGTTTTTGTGAGCTTAGAGATACGCAAAATTGGCGACAGCAACTTTTTTTTAGTCGACGTTTCGTTTTTGGGGCGTTTTTTAGGATTTTAAAGGGGATATCGTTGAGAATCAAAGGGGACTTCGTAAAAATTAGCAAATTTCAAGGGGGACTTCGTTTTGAAAATTCCCTGGTGCCAGCTCGTGCCGAGCCCTGGCTACTCATGTTCCCTTTCATGGTACACAGGGCGTGTCTAAAAGGGCATTCAATGTAGCTCTTAATTGTGATTCACTAACGTAACGTGCAAATGTTCTCCTCTGTAAATTAGGTTTTCTTTTTTTGATTTTTTTTGAGGCGCGATGATCCCTATCTTGAGGTTAATTTTTTAAGTACAGCGCTATGACAAGCAAATCTATTCACAACAGCTTTGATCTCGTCCTTCTTGGCGAATAATCTGAATCGAAAAAATTTGGAATGAAAAGACTGTTGACTTCAGATTTTCTCCAAAATTAGTCGTATCTCAAGATATGGAGTAAACCGAAACAGATTGACAACTAGGAGAAATAGTTGCTATAGCAAATCACATGTCATTTCTACGAGAATCCAATAATCAGGGAACTTCGCTTCAAAAAGATACATAAAATGTCCATCACCTCACTTCTGTATTAATTATCAGTATCTGAGATAACATTCATGCTAGAAACTTCTTGCGTCAAGGAAAAAGAAAGAACTAATAATGTGCACCTTTGTAACATTTGTAACCTCCCTTACATCCAAAATCAAGCATGTTTGAGTACCACGGAGATATGAAGATGTTTACGGAGCTGTGAAGATGTGGAAAGCTTTTCGAACAATCTCAGACTGTCAGGTAGATCAAGTTTGCAAGAGTGAACTTAGAATGCAGTGACGAGAACACTTTTCAGTATTGAGGACATTTTCGTGGCAATGAACATTACGTACCTTTGCTCTTTTCTGCACTATATAAAACGTTGAGCTGTTCAACACAATGATGATAGTACATAAAACTACACCATGAAGGAAATGCATATATGTATTCACTAGTATAGCGCACGATGTGCTGTGAAAAGTGTAAGTGAACCAGTTTGCATTGAAGAAGAATGCACATTCCTCTGAAAGATGAGAGTTACATGCTTTTTTGGTTGAGCCAAAACTAATAAGCGTTTTGGAAATCCTCCTGCAAACTGTCAACTCTCTGCCAGCTTTTCAAGGCAGTTCAAAGCTACTATTACCAGCAAATAGACAACGGCATGCACAATTCGTGTTTTAAAGGTGATTTATAACCAAAATCTTAAAGATATTCTTCCTAAATTTAATCTTGAAAGCTTAGACCCTCGATAACCTTAAAGACTACCAGAATTGGGAATAGTGATAGTTAGCAATTTTCTGTGGGTAATAGCAAACAAGTAAACTCCAATACAATGGACTCAAATCTTAGTGAAGGCCGAATTATATTATGTAACTAGCTGGCTTACCCGGCTCCGCCGTATGTTCCGAATAGAAAATTCCATTTCTTAACCAATCCGGACCAAACTTGGCACACATACACTTCGGGCCCCGGCGGGTGTCACAGTCCACTTTTCGTTATCGATTGATGTCGATTTTATCGATTTTTTGCAAAATTTGAGCTACGGGGCTGGGAGTTGGCACAGGGGGTAAGTGAGCATGCTGATCACCCCCACGGGGGTGATCAGCATGCTCGATTACACCCCCCTGTGCCAAATCCCAGCCTCCTAGCTCAAATTTTTCAAAAAATCGATAAAATCGATATCGATCGATGACGAAAAGTAGCCTATGACACCCGCCGGGGCCCGTAGTGTATGTGCGCCAAGTCTGGTCCGGATCGGTTCAGAAATGGAATTTTCTATTCGGAACATACGTACAGACAGACAGACAGACATACATACATACAGACATTCAGCTTTATATATAAGATATTTCTGAACTGGGCTCAAGATGGATCAGTTTTAATTGCAAATTGTTACTTTTTACATCTTCGAAAGGAAAAATACCTAAACTAAGTTTAGGGTGGTCGGAAGGTAATGGGAGACACTTTAAAAATATTCGATCGTGCTATAAGTCTTTTCATATTAACCTTTAAATTGATATTTCTCAAGATTCAGAGGCACTACAAATGCAAATTTGTGGCAGTTTTTTTTTGGTAAATCAGCTGTATATCCACATATTTGCGAGAAACACAGAACCGCTACGGCCACAGTTTGAAATTTCAGCGCATTATTTTTTCTCATTTTCTATCCATCAGAAAAATGCAGCAAATGTATGTATAAATTTCTGACGGGGAGAATATATGCATAAGCGAGTAAGAAAATCGCAGAATTGTTTTAAACTGAGATGCTATCATTTGTACTTGGAAATTCGAAATTTTCATTCAGCTTGAAACTCGATGCAAACAAATTTGGTGCGAATTTTGAAAACCATCTTCTGCAGCTTGCTTTGTTCTGTCGTGTCGGTCTCCGCATCCTATCAGAGACATATAGGCTTTATCAACCAGCATCGGTTCCGCGCTACTATGCCTTGCGAGAACGCACGGCTGGCATGCGACTTGCTTTCGCGCGTAACAGAGTTCGCACGCGTCACCCGCATCTTCGCAAGCTGCCCCAGTCTCGACGCCGCATAACCGAAGCTGGTTGGTGCAGCCTACGTGTGGTTCATAATTATACGAACACCCCAAATTTTAGAATTTTTTGGACTATTTGGAAGAAACTCAGAAAGCCGTTGGT